AAGATCGCAATTACAAAGAAAACAAGAAAACAGAATAAAAAACGAACGAAAACGAGAATACTGAATCAGTACGAGAATGTAAACAGAACAAGAACTAAAATGACAGTGCGAACGAGAATGATGACAAGGTTGAGAAAATGAAAACCAGAAGAAGAGGGGGTACTGGAAACCGGAAGGAAGAAAAGAGTGAAAACGAAAAAAAGAAGAAGGATAAAAATGAAGATAAAAACCAAAATGAGAACAAAAGTAAGAATTAGAGTGTGAACGAAAATGAAGAGTCACTGAACAAAAAGAGAAGCACGAAGAAAAACGAGAGAAACCAGAATCAAAATGAAAATGGAGAGGAGGTTAAAAATGGGGATTAGAACAAGGATAAAAATGAGGATGAGAATGAAAATGATACCTAGGATGCTAACGGAGACGACAAGAAGGAGAATTACAAGAAAAATAAAAATGAGGATAGCAAGAAAGCATGTGAAGAATCAGAATCTGAGCGAGAATGAAAGCAAGGAAACAAATCACAAAACAACGAAAACGACAAACAGAATCAGCATAAGAATGAAGACGAAAATGAAAACCAGAGTGAGAATAAAAATGAAAAGGAAAATGAGAAAGAACAAGAAGAGAAATTATGAGAAGAATGACAATAGAAACAAGAAAATAAAATAGCAACTGCAAGAAAAATAAGAAAACGGAATAAAAAAGAACGAAAACGAGAAAACAGGATCATTACGCAAATGAAAACGAGAACAAGAATTAAGATTACAATACTGGAAACCGGGAGCAGAATAAGAATGAAAATGAGTAAAAGAACTAGAATGAAAATGAAAATTAGAGTGCGAACGAAAACGAAGAGCCAGAACAAAATTGGCAACGGGAAGAAGAACGAAAATAGAAACAACGAGAAGAGGCAAAGGGAGGGAGAATCAAAGTGAGAATAAAAACAAGAAAACAAGCAAGATCACAACTAGAAGACAAACGAGAAAGCAGAATTCGAAGAAAAATCGGGATAAGAACGAGGATAAAAATGGGGAGGAGAATAAAAATGATGTCTAGGATGCTAACGAGGACGACAAGATAAGAACTAAAAAGAAAAACGAAAACGAGAATACCAAGAAGAAGGCCTGCTCGGAATTAGAATAAAAAAAAACTAAAGACAAGAAAATAGAATCAGCACGATAATGAAGACGACAATAACAACGAAAGTGAGAACCAGAAGGAAACCCGGAAGAGGATAAAAGTGAAAACGAAAATAAGAACGAGGATGAAATTAAAAATGAGAACTAGAATGAGAACGAAAATGAGAATTAGACTGCAAACGAGAACGAGGTGTTAAAAAACAAAAAAGGAAAAAATGAAAATAGAAACAACAAGGAGGGGAAATAGGAGAATGTAGAATTAGAACAACAATAAAAACAATTGCAAAGAAAACAAGGAAACAGAATAACAAAAAAACGATTCAATACGAGAACGAAAACGATAACTAGAAATAGAAGAAATATTGGAAACCGAGAAAAAGATAAGAATGAAAACGAGAAAAAGAACAAAGATGAGAGTCAGAATGAGAACGGAAATGAAAATTAGAATTCAAACGACAACGAGGTATCAAAAAATAAAAAGGGAAACTAAGAGAAGAACGAAAACAAAAGTAACAAGAAGGGGAAATGGGAAAAAGCAGAATCCGAACAACAACGAAAACAAGAAAGCAAGATCGCAACTACAAGAAAAACAAGAAAACAGAACAAAAAAAAATGGGGAGGAGGATGAAAATGGCGGTTAAAATGAGGATAAAAATGAAAATGACATGACTTAAAAGAAAAAAAAACGAGAATACCAAGAAAAAGGTTTGTCAGAAATCAGCGTCAGAAAGAGAATAAAAGCGAAAATGAAAAACAAAAATTAGACTGCGAACGATAAAAGAAGAAAAAGGAAAACCAAGAGAAGAACGAAAACGAGAAAACAGAATTAGTGCAAGAATGAAAACGAAAACAAGAACTAAAATGACATTGAGAACGAGAATGAAGACTAGGATGAGAACGAAAATGAAACCAGAAGGAGAGAGAGTATTGGAAACCGAGAGGAAGACAAGAATGTAAGCGAATAAAAAAAAAATGAGAATTAAAGTACGAACGAAAACGAAGAGTCAGAGAACAAAAAAGGAAACCAGAAGGAGAAGCACGATAGGAACAACAAGAAGGGGGAATGGGAGAAACCAGAATTAAAATGAAAGTGCAGAGTAGGTTGAAAATGGGGAAAATGGGGATTAGAACAAGAAAAGAATTAAGGATGAGAATGAAAATGATATCTAGGATGCTAACGGGGATGACAAGAAGAACTACAACAAAAACAAAAATATATAGCACGAAGAATTAATGCGAGAAACCAGAACCAAAAGGAGAATAAAAGTAAGAAAACAGCATAACTACGGGAATAAAAACGAAAAGAACTCAGTTGAGATGAGAAGAAGAACTAAAATGAGACGAGATAAAGAACTAAAATCAGAATGACATTCACAATCGGAACGAGGGCGAGAACGAGAATAAAAATGGCACGAATGTGAACTAAAAGAAGGAAAGTTAAAATGACAATAGGAACGAAAGTGAAAACAAAAATGAGGAGAAAATACATGAATGTAGATTAACAACGAAAAGAAAGGAGACATTTTGATATTCTTTTATATACTAGTCCAAAAGCTATAAGGTTATATGACCATCATAAAAGTAATTGACGGCAAAACAAAGCTAAGCTTACCGGTTGGCAATAAATTGTCTTCTGAACATTTCTTGCTTACATTTAACAGGGCCGGCTTTCAAAGCGAGTGGTTATTTCGGAACCGTCAGCGGCTACAGGTAGTAAAGAAATAATGGAGTGGTGGATTTACATATTTAGTGAAAGCCGCCCCTGAACGAAACCACAACAGCCGGTCGAGCTGCAGTGGACACGTTATTTACAACCCTAAAACCTTTTCTATTGAAAGCAACTTAACTTCGACACAATGGGATAATTTTATGATGGCCATATAACCTTATAGCTTTTGGACTACTATAATCACATTTACAACTTCGAAACAATGTATTATACTTGTAACAATATTTAGCGACAAAATTTCATTAGGTACATACCTATTCATGGAAACTATAGCTTCAACTAGAAACTGCGTATAGTTTGTTGAAATATTGCGTGTAGCTACCTATCTAATTTTGGAGGTTAACTAATAATTAATAATTCCAGTAAACACTTTAATAGAATTATTTTCGAAATTATTCGTTTAATAAAAACAATTTTTAGAATTTATAGCATTGCTGATTTTTTTTAATATGATTAATTTTTCTTAGATTCTTCGGAACTGCTCTTATTTCCTTATTTTTTTTTTAATTTCAGTCACTTTAATATTGAATTGACGGAATTAAACGGAACTATGCCGAAAGTAATCAATATTGGAAAAATATTTAATCTAATTTTGGAACTTAGTTGCTCTGTTGCTCAGTTCATATGTTCAGTAAAACCTTTACTAATATAATTATTTTCTAAATTGTTCATTTAATGAACGGATTTTTCGTAATTTATGGCAATACTTACTGAAATTTTGTAAATACATATTACCCTTCTTTTTTTTAATTCGTTCTCTTTGACCAGAGTTACCAAAATTAAACACAATTCTTACTTCGAAAGTAATCAATAATGAATCATATTAGACGTTATTTTTAAACAAGTAGCTACTCAATTCATAGCTAATTTCATTCAACTCTTTAACGAGTTATTTTTGAAATTTTCCATGTAATGAATGGAATTTTTGGAATTCTGTGAATAACTACCGAACTACCGAAATTCTTTGGAATGGATGAGGAACAACCGTTCCCCCAAAAACACGTACTCTACCTGAACGCATTTACCTATAAATATGTAAATCTCTGTACAAATGTAAATACGTCTTATCTTTCGTCCACCTGCCCTATGCTAGCTAGTTTCTCTTCCAGTTCCCAGAATTTTCTAAACTCTTTCTTCAGCGGCTTCACCTCACCAAAACCGAACTTACCTGCGACAATCAAACACGTTTCTTGCTTATCCCTGGGCTCTCAAACCGTAATCATCTAATAAAAATCTGAAAACCGTAACATATTAGAAACTATTCAGAGTACTAATGGATGAACTATTTAGAGTTTCGAGAATTGCTTTGGAATTCCCTAATTACTAAAATTCGCTACGAAAAACCGAAATTAGTTAGATAGTAGCTTCTAGTTTTCTAAAAGATTATTGATTTTGATCTGTACAATGTACATCTTTCTCTAAGTTTGATATATTATCAAAATTGTAGTAAAGTTATGAGTCTTTCGTTTTTGAAAATTGATAAAATAAATCCGTAAATAAAATGAAATTCTGACAACATTTAAAAAAAATAGACGGATACACAAGACAATTCAGCACATTTTTTTTAATCAACAATTATGTAGAAAAATGTTAAAAAAAAATGCGATCAATGAAAACTTAACCAAAAAAAAGTATCTCAATGTAGCTAGACGAAATAATCATGACAGACTTTATTATCACAGTTAAATCTCCAACCTCTGTATAAAACACCCGACCGTGTTATAAACTCCAAGCAACAAAGTTATAAAGCAAATTGTTACTTTGTGAACTAAGCCGGCGCCATCTTTAGTCGAACATGTCTGCAGTTAGCAGCATAGCATCCTCTATAACCTCCACACTTCACTCTTCTAAATATCCTCCAAAAAAAAAAAAAAAATCGCAAGAAAAATCGCGATCCTCAATTCGTGTCACCATATCGAAGAGATAAGATAAAGTCACTCTCCTCCGGCGGCGTCGCGGTGGGGGCAGCGCCCCTGCGCACGCCGCGTAGTGGGGGCCCCAAACCGGTTCCCACCACACCTCCAAGCTCCTCCCCTCTTCAATTCCGTCCAAATGGGCGTGTACATCACCGCGATGTAAAATGTCGGGACGCCCGACGTCTTCCGAACCCCTAAAGGGAGGGCCTTTCCCTCCCTTGCCTTATTCTATCAGTGACAATCTATAGTAAAGAGACAGTAGTGAAGCTTGCGTCGCTGCAGCCATATACCGCCAAAGCTCAAGTCCATGACGTAAAAGTGCGCGAGTGCTGTGTCCCGAAAAAAAATGTTGGAGTTTTACCCTAACATCAACCTGACGCCGGCGATGCTGCCAGAGCACAGCTCCCTGAACGGCCCCGACTGCAACGGCCGGACTGGTAAGTTTTAAGAAACGGCCAGAGAAGGAGAGAGCCAGGGCAGGACTCGCCTGATCGGGCGTGTGATGCGCAAAGTGCTCGGTTCTAATGTAGTCTTCAGTGCTCGGCTAATCACCTCGCCGATTCATTATGCCAAACCAGAAAACGCTTTCGTTGTTCGAGGCACTTTTGCCGATGTCGCGACTTCCGCCGGAGACGAGGTTCAGTCATTAGTCCGGTTTCCGGCCGTACTAACCTAAGCTCGACAAGCTTTTAGCTATGCCAATATTTGCAAGCGGCTTCCATTCGAGATCCTTACAAGGAACGGGTGTAAAGTGGAAGGACGACCGCCAAATTGGATTTTAGAGTGGCGGCGAGGCCGCGTTTTGCGGCCAAACGGTTCCAATGTTTATAGTTGTTTGTACAACTTATAAATAAAATGAGCTTTTTCGAGTTTCTCAGGTGGGATTTTAAATGTTCAGGAAACAAGGGAGCCAAATCACGATATATTTTAGACAAGAAAATCTTTGAAATGTTTGTTTGTCAGTTAAAAACTTATCGTAAAATAAGCTCTATCTACTTGATAATTTTTTCTTTTGAATGCACTTATGGAAAATAAGAACCGTAAAAGTGATTTTATTTTCTAGAAAAGTTATCTCTACCACGATTCATGATACATGATTTTATTTTATTATTTTAGATAATCAGCAGTCCTAATCTTTGTTAAATTTACATAACAAATTAGATATTTTTCTAAAATTTCGGCCGTGGAGTATGTTAACGCAGTAACATTTTCATTACTTCACAAATTAAAAAAAAAAGCTCTAGGGAGCAACCAATTCATTTTTTCATTAATATTAATATGTTTATAGATATTTCTATTTAAAAACTATTAAATTTCGGCAACCCACTCTGCATTAAGTTTAAAATAAGAAATCATCCCTCAAGTGGAGAGAGGTGTAGCGTATTTAACAGGATTACTACGGTCAAGTAATCTCCAGGTATAATTTACAACTACCTAATTTGTACACAAAATTTTGGTGTCCTTTCTGTATCATTAACCACTGTTGAAAGAGTTGTACGAGAGTGTTGGTGTTAAAAAAATTGGTTGAAAATTACTTCGGCAGAAGTTCCCTAGCCCCTAAAGTATAGTCGAACAATTATAATCAACTTTAATTTTGAGAATTCTTTTTTTTATCTTTATAGTTATTTTTTCCGTATAATTTTTTTTTGATAACGTAATTAATTAATTATTAGCAAGGGCACATATATCAATTTAGTATTGATCGACTCCTTAGACTTTTGACACCCTTGGAATCCTCGAAATCTTTGAAATTTAGAGAAAACTTTGAACTTTCACAGGACAAATTCAGTAAAATTTTTAGAATTTCTAGAACTAAGTACATTTTTGAAATTTTCAAAAGTTCTACATTTTCTAAATGTTATGAGAATCATCAGTCTTCGGATATTCCAGATTTTCTAAAATTAATAGACCCTAAGAGTCTTTAAATCTTTGAAATTTTTGGTACCTCTGGAATCTTTAGAATCTCTGAGATGTGTTAGATACTAATTAGGACGTTCAAGACCTCTAATACTTGTAGAATTTATAAAAATTAAAGGAAACATTCTTCAGATTTTTACGATTTTTAGATTTTTATGATTTTTGTTTTGTTTAAGAGTCTTTGGAATCTTTAAGCTTTTTGTTATGTTAAAAGTTCATGCGTTTTTTTACAAATTATAGAATCTTTGAAATATTTGGAACAGAATTTGGATACTTTAGAATTAATAGAAATTTTGTAAAGTTTATAATTTTTATAATTTCTAGCAACATTAATCCTTCCAAGGTCTTTACAATTTTGTTGGATGTTTCTTCTGTTTAGAACCTAAAACTTTAGTTTATTTTGCACTTTGGTGTCTTTAAAATTCGCATATTCTAGTGTGTATGAAAACTTCAAGAATTTTAAAATGTGTCGAGTCTTTGGAAATTTTTAAAGGTTTGAAACCTTTTCAATATTTCAAACATTTGGAAACTTTGAAATTTTGAGATTTGATATTTTTCTATTTTCTTTTATTTTTTGGGAATCTTCGTAATTTACAAAAGTTTCAGAATTTCTAAAATGTTCAAATTTTCCAGATTAGCCCAACTTTTCAGATTTTCCAAAGTGACCTGAATTTCCACATTCTCCGAAATTGCTAAAATTATCAGGCTCCAGTTATACCAGAATTTTGAAATTCAGCTATTTCCAATATTTTTAAGATTTCTAGGTCTGTCACATTTTTCCCACTCCTTCTAAATTTTTTAAGATTTTCTAAAATTTATCGATCTCAAGAGTCCACATATTTGGAATCTCTGGAATCTTTAGAAACTCTGAGATGTATAAGATAATAATTAGGGGGTTCAAGACCTCTAATACTTGTAGAATTTATAAAAATTAAAGGAAACATTCTTCAGATTTTTAAAATTTTTGTTTTGTTTAGAGTCTTTGGAATCTTTAAAATTTTTGTTATGTTAAAAGTTCATACGTTTTTTACAAATTATAGAATCTTTGAAATATCTGGAACAGAATTTTAAAGATCTTTTTAATGTTTGAGCTCTTAGAGTTTTAACAATCCTTGGAAATTTGTATACTTTAGAATTACTAGAAATTTTATAAAGTTTATAATTTTTATAATTTCTAAGAACACTAATACTTCCAAGATCTTTACAATTTTTAAGATTTTGTTGGATGTTTCTTCTATTTAGAACCTAAAACTTTAGTTTATCTAGCATCTTTGGTGTCTTTAAAATTCGCATATTCTAGTGTGTATGAAAACTTCAATATTTTTAGAATGTGTCGAGTCTTTAGAAATTTTGAAAGGTTTGAAACCTTTTCAATATTTCAAACATTTGGAAACTTTTGAAATTTTGAGATTTAATATTTTTCCATTTTCTTTTATTTTTTGGGAATCTTCGTAATTTGCAAAATTTTCAAAATTTCTAGAATGTTCAGATTTTCCAGATTAGCCCAATTTTTCGGATTTTCCAAAGTACACAAAATGAACTGAATTTCCACATTCTCCAAAATTGCTAAAATTATCAGGCTCCAGTTATACCAGAATTTTGAAATTCAACTATTTCCAATAATTTCAAGATTTCTAGGTCTGTCACATTTTCCCCACTCTTTCTAAATTTTTTAAGATTTCCTAAAATTTATATATCTCAAGAGTCCAAATCTTTGGAATCTCTGGAATCTTTAGAATCTCTGAGATGTATAAGATAATGATTAGGGGGTTCAAGACCTCTAATACTTGTAGGATTTATAAGAATTAAAGAAAACATTCTTCAGATTTTTTGAATTTTTATTTGTTTAGAGACTTTGGAATTTTTAAAATTTTTGTTATGTTAAAAGTTCATGGGTTTTTTACAAATTATAGAATCTCTGAAATATCTGGAACAGAATTTTAAAGTTCTTTTTAATGTTTGAGCTCTTAGGGTTTTAACAGTGTTTGGAAATTTGGATACTTTAGAATTACTAGAAATTTTATAAAGTTTATAATTTTTATAATTTCTAGCAACATTAATCCTTCCAAGGTCTTTACAATTTTTAAGATTTTGTTGAATGTTTCTTCTATTTAGAACCTAAAACTTTGGTTTATTTAGCGTCTTTGGTGTCTTTACAATTCGCAAATTCTAGTGTGTATGAAAACTTCAAGATTTTTAGAATGTGTCGAGTCTTTAGAAATTTTGAAAGGTTTGAAACTTTTCAATATTTCAAACAGTTGGAAACTTTTGAAATTTTGAGATTTAATATTTTTCTATTTTGTTTTATTTTTTGGGGATCTTCGTAATTTGCAAAATTTTCAAAATTTCTAGAATGTTCAGATTTTCCAGATTAGCCCAATTTTTCGGATTTTCCAAAGTACACAAAATGAACTGAATTTCCACATTCTCCAAAATTGCTAAAATTATCAGGCTCCAGTTATACCAAAATTTTGAAATTCAACCTTTTCCAATATGTTCAAAATTTCTAGGTCTATCACATTTTTCCCGCTCTTCCTAAATTTTTTAAAAGTCTTGGACATTTTAAGAGTTCACACGATATTTCTGGAAGACAAATTTTTCCCAAAATTTTCGTTATTTATACTGCTGTAAATCTTTACTAGGAAATCATCAGAAAAGACGATAATTTTTGAGAAAATCATATGAGCCTAAAATTAGAAAAATTTTATTGATATCAACATCAATGTAGAACTACATTTTTTCATGAATAAGTACCGGCTAAGATAAGACTAATTTTGGCAGATGACATACCCTCTGAAGAAAAGAGAGAGTGGGTGGGCGGGGCTAGTACTGGCTAAGATAAGACTGATTTTGGCAGATGACATATGCTCTGAAGAAAATAGAGGGCGGGTGGGCGGTGTAGACATCTTTTCACAACAAGAAACTTAAAACATGTTTAAAAAGGTAAATTTGCATAGAAAAATATCGATTTTGCAATTACGCTCCGCCCCTCGGTCTGACAACGAATGAAAAATTCATCACAATTGAGATTGAGACGGATGGGCGGGGCTGCTCTTTTGGTTTTCTTTTTTAATTAATACATTTAGTTTTCTTTGTACAACACGAATATACCATGATAATTTCTCGTAGAAAAATTAGGATTTTACAATTAAACACCACGACTCGGCTTACAAAGAATTAAAAAAATCTTCAGAATTGAGATAGGGCGGGTGGGCGGGGCTACATTTTTCCTTGTTTTCTTAGTATGTGTAGACTTATTTCGACAACAATAAACTGAAAACATGTCTAAAATGATAAATTTTTCTAGAAATCAACTTAAATCCGCCACTTTTCTTCTTGAAAAGCAAGAGACAACTTTTGTCGGAATCTGCGGGTGTTTTAATTATTTTAAAACCTACCTACGTATAGTGTGTTTCAAAAATTGACAGACACCCGTAGATTTATTTTAGGTTTACCTGCGTAAAGAAGGGAACAGCTTAAAATAAGCCAGGTACATACTTACTGGGTGATAATTGCTGAT